AGTCCCCACCTGTGTGACAGCACTGCACCACCTGGGGGTTTGGGGATTTTCTGGAAGGCTCAGGGTCCCTCAGGGAAGGAAGGGGATGGGGAAAATGCAGGTTGGGATGTAGGATTAGCCTGGAGTGCTGGATAAAACACAGCCCTGCTTGTGCACATGAGGGTGGGGGAGCCAGGGGAGGGCCTGAAATTTTAAACCAAAACTGCTGAGTGTCCAGGAGCAGATTTCTGGGCACATCAGTTTCCATTTTAGGATTTAATCCACTTGAGGCTTTGCTGACATGCTGTGAAGGTCCAGCCCCAGATCTGGAGCCTGTGGGTACTCACAACTTTAAATTCCTGTTCAATGTTTTTAGGGAACTGAACTGCAAAGCCTCTATGGAATCCATAAATTGGAATTAGCCATCAGCCCTGGGAAACTGGAGCCCCTGTGTTTGGTCAGATTGTGCTGCTCCTTGCTGGGCTTTGGTGGCTTGTCCCAGCTGCTGGTTCTGTGTCACCACAGGCCCAAATCTCACTGGGTTTAGCCTCTGTTGCAGCTCAGGGAAGAGCTCTGGGGCAGCCAGCCCTCCTCCCAAGCTGGATGGGAGCAAAGTGATAAAATTTTACTACAGTGGGAGAAGTTTATCAGCCTGTGCTCACTCTGCTGTGTGTCTGCTGTGACACAGAATTATGTGTTGGAATAGATACAGGGGGCTGCTGGCAGCCAGGCCAAAGATAAGACATGATGGGGTGTTGGCTAAATCATCCTCCAGAGTGCTTGACCACAGCTTTGGTGCAATGCACCCCTCTGAATTTGCCATGTTTCCCATAATAGTTGCTGTCTAAATATGCATTGCTACAGAGATTCAGAAAACCTTGTATTCTCTTAGCTTAAAAGAAGTACTCACAATTTTTGTAATTTTGGTTTAACTTGGACACACTGGTAGCATATTCCTGAGCTGAAATAAGATTTGTATCTATGTGACTGCCAATTTCAAACTCTGTAGCAAATTCAGTGCTGCAAATTCACCCCTTGAAGTGTCAGGGTGCATTTTTGACTTTGCTGTGTGAAAATTTTCATCCTTTTCTTACATAAGCCAGTGTCACTTACTTCATAGAAACTGTGTGAACTCTTTATTGTTACCCCAAACAGCAATTGACCTGCAAAAGGTGATTTCCATGATATTGCAATACTTAGGATTGGTGGCATTTCCAGTGCCAAACACTAGGGCTTGTCCTCAGTACAGGGACAGCAGAATCTGGCTGTAGTTTAAGGAAGTTACTGTGTATTTGGTGAGATGGGGATGGATTCCTCACTGGTTTTTAGATCAATGTCTGTAACTGCTGATAAAATGCTAAATTAGCCATTGAGTGTGAAAAGTCAAAGAAAATAGAAGGAATTGCTTGGAGTGGAATCTTGTTATCTTTACAGTATAAATTTGTATGAAAAATTGTCATCAGCTAAACCTTGCAGAAAACATGGGAAAGGAAGATTTAACTATATTTTTGTCTTCTAGGGATTCTTTAATTCTCTGAGGACTGAGCTGACTGACTACCCTGAGATAAGCATTATCCAAATCTGCCCAGGGCCTGTGCAGTCCCAGATCATCCAAAATGTCTTTACTGAGAATCTTGCAAAGGTAAGGGCTCAGTTCTGCTGTGACAAACCCAACTTCTGCTGTGGGGACAGTGATCCTTTGTGGGATATCTTTGTCTGGTTTTGTCCTCCCTGCAAACACTAACCAAGAAATGCTTTGAGTGGTTCAGGACTGTGTATATCTTGTAATTCTTGGTGGTATCAACTGAAAATTGAGTTTGCTAATTGCTATTCCTTCTGTCTTCCAACACAAACAACCCAAGTGTAGTAAAACGTGCTGCACAGCCCCTGTGCTGCAGTTTTGGGGGGAAAGCCAGGATTTTCTGGCCACAGCTCTGCTGGGGAGTGCTGTCCTTGCACAGGTGGGGTTTTGTTTGCCCTGGTCACGCTGTGCCCTGCTGGGTGACGCTGCTGCTGCTGGCACAGCCCTGGCTCAGCTGACACGAGCTGTGCATTCCTTTCCTGTTAGGGATTGTTCCAGGAGGAAAAGCAAAACCTTCCAACTGCACAATGGCTTTTAGTAAAAGCTGTCTGACAAAGCAGCTGGCAAAAATTGCTACTGTGATGCATCAGACTGTAATCTGCCCTAAATTCAATCGATTTGAAGCTCAGGATGACCCACCAGTGAGGGGGAGGGGATCTCATTTTTGAATCAAGTTCTGGAATGATTTTTGTGTTGCAAAACTTCTGACTTGCGTGAAAGAAAAAGTGTACTTTTTCAACAATGGTGAAAGTTGCAAAACACATTCCTCAGATTTCAGTGTGGCAGAAGCCCAGGGAGGAGGAGCAAATCTCGACCAGAACTGCTTCTGCCCTGTGAAACAGAGGGACAGATTGCTAGAGTGGCCTGTTATTGCTGAGTGAAATGTGCAGGAGTTCACAGGGCTGTGGTTTGTGTTCAGTAAATAATACAGTGACAAAACAGGCTGATGTCCCTGCTCCAAAGCAGCTGGCAGCTTCTCTCTAGGTTGGGATGGAGAGAACTGGCAGGAATATTTAGGTTTATGGGGAATGTGACCTCACCTACTCACTTGGGTACTTGAGTAACTTGTAGTGTAGTGTGGGCACAGCTTATAGTGTGGGCAGGCACAGCTGGGACCTGAGGAGTTCCCATTCCTCAGAGCTGCACATGGGGGAATTTGTTCAACAATCCCCATCAAGTGGAAGCCCTGCTGAAGCAGAATAGAGCTTGGAGATCGATTTTTTTAAAAACTTTGACCCATCAATAGAGGCATTAATTAAAAGGGTGCTTTATTTGAGCCAAAGGAAGGTGGAAAGTGTTCCCACACAGAAACCAGAGGATAGTGAGGGATGGGTTCCTCTGCCCCATTCTCTGGGCGAGTTCTTGTGGGGAAACAAGGAGGAATATATCTGTGGCATGGAGCGTGGCCCTTTCCCTCCCTGTCACTCCCAGGGCTGCAGTTGTAACCCCTCCCTGCTCTGTGCCCCCCAGTCCATCGAGAACAGCGGGGACCAGTCCCACAAGATGCCCACGGATCGCTGTGCCCGGCTCACCCTGGTGAGCGTGGCCAACGACGTGAAGGAGGCGTGGATCAGCGACCACCCCTACCTGGCCGTGTGCTACCTGTGGCAGTACGCCCCCACCTGGGCCTGGTGGCTCATGAACAGGATGGGAAAGAGGAGGATCCAGAACTTCAAGAGTGGAATTGTGAGTGTGCACAGCGCCCCTCTGCCCCCTGCTTGCTTGTTGCACTCTGCTGTGGCAATGTTTGTTGGGATTGTGTTGCTCCTCAGTCACATTTAGAGCCATGATGTGCAGGGCAGGATCACTGCTTAAGAGTTTTGGATGGAAATTGTTGCGGTTATCCATGGTGTGTACATTTATTGACCCCATATGACATAAATTAAATGCATAGATGACAGTAAGAATAGGCTGTAGGCCTGCTGGAGGAGCTCTTCTGAGAGCAGGGAAAGTGTGACTGAGCCTGTGTCTCACCCAGGGAGCTTCGGGACACAGGGAGAGCTGAAGTGCAGCTCCACAAAAGCACCTCAAGTAAATAATCAAGTACAGGAAATGCAAAAGTAAGGGTGGCACATGCAGCTTAAAACTTTGTGCTTTCACCCTCTAACTGCCCATGGTCACAAGCTGTTTCAAAGGAAATCTTTCAGGCACTGTGTTGTTTTTAACACAGGGTGGGGAAATACTGATTTCATGTTCTCTCCCCCCAGGATGCCGATGCCTCTTACTCAAGGAAGAGGAAGTGAGGACGAGTGTGTAAGAAATCCTGCTGTACTTGGGCTAAGGCTGAGAAACCTTTCATACTGCATGACTGCAAACAACAGCTTTTTTTTTTTTTTTGGTTTTGTTATGTCTCTGTCATCCTGTAACTCGACAGATCTACCGAGCTGATGACATACTTGACTAAATAAAAATCTTTCTAAACACACCTGTTTCAGGTCAAATTCCCACAGGCTGAGTTTTTAAGCTTACAAGGAATGAAACACAGGAGAGGCTGAGCTGCTGCTCTCACACAGCCAAATACCTGGTGAGCAGCCTAAAATGACAGACCCCAGCATCCTGCTTCCCTCACTTTCATTCTGAATTCATGTTGATTAACAAAACCCCACAAGGAGAAGGGTGTGGTGTAGAGGGTAAAGGTGTCTTGTCTGTGCTTGGGATGTGTTCCTTGAGCAAAATGTGTGTTCAGGGCTGAATCCTTTCATTTCTGACACATCAGGACTTACCCTCTGCCCCTTTCTCAGCTCTGCTGCCCTTACACTGCCCTGTGTGTGATCAACATCACAATCTAGAGCCAGGAGGTGTTGGAAGAACTAAATAAAGCTCTGCACACCCCTGGTTAGAAAACAGGGTCACAAGGGATAACAATGGGTCCTGCTGAGAGCAGGATGCCATCAGTAATCCCAGCAGCAGCCTGTGAGCACAGAGCTGAAGGTGCTCCAATTCCTGAATTCCAGATAAATCAAAGAAATGCTCCAAACAAACAAACCAGCTGAACAGGGGCACTCAGCTGCACAGATCTGAGACAGAACAAAAGCTTTATCTCCTGGTTCTGCCAAAAGCAGGATGCAGACAGGTTTAGGGTGAGGGTGCTGTGCCTCAGGGCTGTGCCAGGGGCTCTGTGAGCAGTGACCGGGGCTGTGGGACACTGCTGTGACAGCAGGGGACAGGATGTGGCAGGGCAGCACAGCCCAGCTCCACACTGCTGTGCTCCAGCAGGAACTCTGCCCATTGCTAATTGTGCTGCTCCATCTGCTGCCAGTCAGGATCTCTGCTGGAACACTGGGCCCAGTTAGCAGCAGCTCTCCTCAAGGCTGGGGAGCAGATGGACAGAGCCCAGAGAAAGGAAGGGAAAAGGATCACAGCTCTCTTCAGCTCTTTCTCAACTGGTTTATTCAGTTTACAAAAGACAAAGGATGAGGGCAGAAATTACAGCCATCTTTGAGTAAGGACTGCTGCAAAAAATATAATTAAATTTTCTGTGACCATATGGAAGACGAGTAGTAACAAATTTACAATGGGACAAGGGAGGGTAAATTAGATTTAGGAAATAGCTCCAACTTTCCAGCTGCTGCAAGAGCAGCAGAGAAGTGGAACTGCTTGAGGAGCTCATGACACTCCTTGCCCTGGAAGTGTTAAATGAGAGTAAACATCTGCCTCCTTGTGAGAGGGAGCTGAAATAGGTGCTCTCTATAAGCCCCTTCCACATCACTGTCCTGGCTCTGTATTTCCACACAGCTCAGGGCCCAGTGTGGCACCAACCTGCTTTAGAAACTCACCACACCATTGCATAGTTTTTAAAAACCATTTCTGGCCACTACCTAAAGGAACAGCCAGCAGCCCAGGACAAGGTTCTGTGGCAAATTTCACATGAGAAAAAAGGTCTTAAAGGTGAGGAGTAAAAGTAATAAATGTGCTTGGACCCTGACAAGGCTGGGTGTTCCAAACCAGTACTGCTTCAGTTACAGAGCAGGTGTGATTTAAATTGATTCTGCAGGAGTAGGAAATACAATTACCTACTCCCTGCTCAGCATCTGCCTACAGTGTGACCACTGTACTATGAGAAAACACAGTTATGTGCTCAGACTGGTGGTAGTGAACAGGAAAAATGAACCACTGGAAACTGGACCGGGACCTGTTCACAAACCAGCTGTCCAGGTCTGCTCCAGCCTGTAGTGAGGTTAAAAAAATAAATACTTCCAGCTGGATTTCCAGCCACCTCCCCATCATGAAGCTCTCACTGCATTTGTGGAAGACTGGTTAGGGAGGTGGGGAAAGACTGAAAGTAACAACATCTATGTATATATATATATATATATATATATATATATATATATATATATATATGTGTGTGTGTGTGTGTGTAAACAGATATATATATCATATACATGGATACTGGAAGAAGGAGATGAAATCATAGCATTTGTTCTTAAAATTTCCTCCGTCCCCTAATTATATACATTGACTTCTTTCATCAATAAAGTCACCCAGGCTATCAATGTGTCAGAGCACACACTGGTTTATATAAAATTCTTTTTACCAAAACAAGTAGTTTGGTAAAAGTTGTCCCTTAGTTAAAGTAGGGCTGATAACTTACTGCACATAAGGAAGATCAGTGAGAGTCATATAACAAATGCTAGAACTGAACTCAGTCCAATATAATATGGCCAGAATAAAAAAAAAATTATATAAATAGTCCTATGTACACTTTGGTTGCCAACTCTGGGGTTGACAACACTACAAGAGGCCATAACCTGACTGGCAGTGCAGGTCACCTGTCCACGGAAAAAAAAAAAAGGAAAAATAAATCAGAATGCACCAAAAATAGTTAATGAGCAGAATTATGGTAATGATAAGAATTATGCTGCTTTTCTTTAAGGTGGAGAATTGCAGCATGTGGCTCACCAGCCACAAGGGTGTCTTGTATCTCAGCAGCAAGAAACCAGTCCCCACCTTGCTGCCTGCTGCAGGCTCTGGCCAGCACCACCTTTGTGCCAAGGACACTCACCAGCCTGGCACTGCCACCCTGCGAGTAACACCTGATCTGCAGCACACAGGGCAGCGGGGACACCTGACTGCCCCACACAGAGGAAAAAGACAAACCAGCAAGATGCAGAACTGAGAAAGCCCAGCCTAGAAGAGGGGCAGCTGCAGGAGCTGTGAGGAGTAGACGGGGTAGCCCAGGGGCGGCTCGGCCGCCTGCACGGTCAGGTTGCGCAGCAGCGCCGGGTGTGCCTGGATGCTGTAGCGCTCCTCGTCGTCGTTGGTGGCGTAGAGCAGCTCCCAGGACAGGTTGGCCCACTGGCCCCTCACAGCTTCAGCATTGAGCTTTCCCACCTGCACCAGCAGCTCCTGCAGAGTGAGGACTCGCCCGGTGTAAATTCCCTGCAAGAACAAACAGATCAGGATGTCTGGGACATTGGCTGAGAAGAGACGAAAGCGTTTTGGATGCAAAGCTCTGAGTGAAGCTTTGGGGCTGTGTGGTGGTTTTGGGGTTTTCAGGATGAAGGAGGAATTGAATTTGACTCTATGTTTGTAGGAGGTTAATTCATATAATATAAAATCATAAAATAATAAAAGAACGTTAAACTATACTAAAGAATAGAGTAAGTATCTTGTACAAGTAAGTATCGTGTTAAGCCTTCTGTAAGTATCCTAACTAAAAACTCATAATTGACTCCTCAGAGTCCAACACAGCCTGATGGTGATTGGTCATTAAGTAAAAACATGAAACCAATCAAACAACCACCTGTTGGATAAACAATTTCTAAACCACATTCTAAAGCAGCAAAACACAGGAGAAGCAAAATGAGGTAATTATTGTTTTTATTTTTCTCTGAGGCTTCTCAGCTTCCCAGGAGAAAATCCTGGGCAAAAGGATTTTTCAAAAAACCATGACAGTAATAGGGCTGCACTCTACAAACACTTTAAACACAGCAAAGTATAAACCAGTTCCCTCCACAGGAATATAATCAGGAAACATTGCTGCATCTGAAGAACAGTGCAGTGGGGTTTTCAACAACAGTGGTGCCAGTTCCTCTTTAGGACAAATCAACACTGCATGCCTTCATGTTTTAGAACACAATTACAAGAGGGGAAAAAAAAGAACAGTGAAAAAGAAACCCAAACTTTGAGTAACTTTTCTCCTTACCATGCTTGGGTCATGCCCCAGAGAGAACAGGTATGGCTTTTCCTGCAGAACTGCCTGCTGCCACTCCAGGTCTGACACCAGCCCAATGTACCAATCGCTTTCGTACCCCTCCAGGTAATTCACCAGCTCTCTGAAGGTCTCCACTGGGCCCAGGCTGGCTTTGTCCAGCATGAGTTTAAAGGTGTATCTGAAAGGTGCAGAAGGTCACACAGTCACTTGTGTGGCAAAGGCAGGAGGGAGAAAGCTCTTCAGGCCACAGAGGGTGGAGAGGCTGCACCAACTCTGTCACAGTCACTGCTTGCCAGAGTCCCTGCCAGTCAGTCTGGTTGTGCTTTTAGCTCACCCACATGTAAAACACATCAGCACCTCATTCACCTCCAACACATCCCCAGTGCCTGATAATGGTTACTGCCAAATATCCAAATCCAGCACAACTGTTGAGAGCTGGGGTCAGTGAAAACAGGTTGTTTTTCCCAGTTAACACAGCAGATTGGAGGCAGCTGCTGTGGAGAAGAAAGAAGAACCTCCATACCACATGCCAGGCAGTATTTATATAGGAAAAACCTACAAATAAATTTAAACTATATGGGTTTAACAAAACATTAATGAAATGGCACTTCTCTATATAAATTTCTAATCTCAGAAATTGGTTTTTTTTTCTTTTACCTGAATGCTTTTAATGCCAGCTGGAAGAGCTCTGGTTTGCCTGTGAGCCAGTCCAAGCCAGCAGACCAGGGGATGCCGCCCGTGTAGGCCCTGAAGACGTGGCGAGGGGCAGGCACGGCGTTGTCCAGCCCAAACAGACCAAAGCAGCACGACAGCACCCCCAGGATGTACAGCTCCTTCAGAGCTTCATCTTCCATCAGCTCTGTGAGCAAGCTGGAAGGCTTCTCTTGCAGATGAAAAAAGTCCAGCTGGCTCAGAACAAAGTGGTACCATTCCTCAGGAAACCTCTGCCTCATTTCACTGACTTTGGAAGAAGGCACTGGTGCTGTTCTCCATTCTTCAGGGATGCTCAGCAGCTCTGAGTAAGAGCAACTGAATTCTACACGAGGTAAAACTTCTGGCTGCTTCCCTTTGTCCACAGCAGGCAGCCCAAGCACCACAGTCCTGTTTAATTTATCTTCTGGAGACAATTCTTGTAGGAAATCTTGGCTCTGTGTTTCTATGGACCCTGGAATAGACAGGTGCACTTTGGGTGTCAGTCCCAAGTGCCCAGCATCTTTTCTGTCTCTTGTTCTGCTACTGGGCTCAAAATCAAAAATGTCACCATCATCAGTCCAGTCCTCCACTGTATCAACACTAAAGCTGTCTTCTTCCCTCAGAGCTCTGCATCCTTTCACTGCTCCACTGTGCTGATTTTCTGGAAATGATTCTTGTTTGCTCCTGTTGGCACTGCCTGGGCTTTCCCACGTCTTGGATTTTTTATAACAATACTGGACAAGCATCCACACAAGCACTTTCACAAAATCATCTTTCAGGTGCTTTAAATTCTCATGGGAATCAATTATTCCAGATAACACATTCCTGGCATCAGAATAGAGCCTCACAGGAACCACAGTACAGGGAGTCAGGATGTGCCCAAAATGGGGATTGGGAGACAGAATCCTTGTGTGCTCCTGCTGTTCAAAGGCCATTTCAAAAATTTCATCCACTCTGTGAGCTTCAGCAGCATGGCAGGATGTTTCCTGCAGTTCTAGCCCCTAAAGGACACATGAAAACCTGTTAGTCTGCACCAGGACATAACTTTAAATGCCAGCATTTTGCCTGCAACAGAATTATTCTGAATAAAATGATTGTCAGTATTTCCACAACTGAATCTACAAATCTATCCAGAGATAACAGCAATAACAAAGCACTCACTGCAATATTAGGCACAGATCAGTGTCTTAAATAAATCTTTGCTTGATGCAAATCTTATTAGCCAGCTTATTAAAGATATTCTGTCACAAGTTAAATGATAAAAAAATTTCACATCTGCTACTCATGTAAATTGCAAGGCTAATTAGTACAACACTCATCTTAGGAAATTAAATGTAAATCAGTTACACTGCTGAAATGTTACACAGCAAAATGTTTGCATGATTTCCAAACATCAACATTTCAGTGCTCAGCATGCAATTACCTTAATGTTCACACCACAGTATGTGAAGCCTTTTTCCAGCACCAAAATCCACATCAGCCTGTCCTGGAAGCGGCACAAGTAATGAGACCCAGGCAGAGACAGACCTGGGCAAGAAAAGAAACCAAACAAAAACTGCATATTACCTTTTCTACATGCCAAGGGAAGGATTCAACAGCAAACACAAAATATTTCTGCATCAGCAGAAATAACTGGCACCTTAGAAATAACTACCACCTTAAAATCTTGGAAAAACTGGCTGAAACTGCAGCTTTGAAAAAGCTGTGGAAAGTTGGAAAACCTCACACAACTGCAGGACTACATTATTCACACCAGACCAGGGTTAAACAACTCCACCCTCAACTCCCTTTGCAGAGATGACTTTCATGATTAAAGATCATTTTTGGCTGCATTTCCAACCACAGAGTTCCCACTGGAGTGTTCTCTGGAGACCTGAGGTCCTCCTTGCTGAGAATACATTACAGAATCATTCTATAGCACAGGAGTTTCCTAATGGCCCAATTTGCTGTGTGGAGTGGGAAGTTTATTTGTTATCACAGAAATAAAAATATAATTGAACTGGAATTTGAAAATCAGGTCCTGAAGAACAGCAAATTAGTACTCAAAAGAAAAAAAAAACACCCAAACTTTTTTTAACCTCTGTCACAAAAAAAAGCAATGCCAAATTTCCTAAGAACTGGTGGTTATTCTGTATTTGAACCATAGCTGAATGTCAATCCCATAACACAATGGTTTTATTCTTAAGCATGACATTTGCTGCCAGTTTATGACCTGCTTCTGCTGTCACTCATGTCTGGTGACCACTCACTTACAGAACATTTTAGTTTTAAAATGTTGTAAGGTGAAATCAGTGAAACCAACCATTAAACAGTAGTTAAAATTTAAGTAACCTTTTCTAACCCACTGAGCTAATGAAGTGCATTTTCTTGCTAACATTTTGCAAAGACTTTAATTCCTTTCTTGCTAGCAGTTAAAACTACTAAAACTCCTTTACACAGAAAAAACTCTGGGTTTAAATTAGCGACACACAAAGTGGCATCACTTCCTTTTGAACTCATCTGAGAACACCAGAGTTTTTCTTGCTTCAAGACATTCATTCACAGATTTTCCCATTAAAGAAGAGACTTTTTACCCCTCAAGACTAGTGTTTTAAATTATTAATTCTAAGGCATACATGCCACCACAGTCATGATGGCAATGGGGGAAAAAACCCTTATTAAAATATGTATATATATAAAATATAGATAGATATAACAGATAGATAACATATATATATGACAGATAGCTACATATTAATATAATAAATAAATGTATTTATTAATAAATAAATAAATGTAAATAGAAAACAGTAGACAAACTGAAGTATCCTTCTTTAGAGAAAAAAGACTTCCTGGTTTTATTGAGTACCTCTCTCTAACCAGTGATGCAAGTGCAGCACATATTTCCCAGTAAAGCACCTGGATATTTTCTTCAGAAAAGCATGATTAAGGTTAACTTCCACTGCCTTCAAATATTAGGCCACTTTTTCCAGCCATAAGCCATTTTCTAAGAGGCTTATGTAAATATTTGCCTCTTGTCTAAGGGCTACAATCTTTTGATTATTTAGGTTACACAAAGGCTGTTTCTCAAGAAAATGACCTTGCAATTTTAAAACAGTTACTCTGTCTCCAGCTGGGGAAAAGACTGGGCATTTCTTCACCTCTGCCTCTGTAATTCTGTGAAAACCCCATCACAATGCCTTTACCA